TTCATCGCATACCTCACTAATTTTGGAAATAATGCTTTAGAAAACCCCATAACTACAACAAGTACAGCATATATTTCCCCAAACACAACTACTCCCAAAATAACTACTCCTACAACAACTATTCCCACAACAAATACTCCCACAACTACTACTTCCACAACAACTACTCCCACAACAACTACTCCCACAAAAACTACTCCCACAACAACTACTCCCACAACAACTACTCCCACAACAACTACTCCCACAACTAATACTCCCTCAACAACTACTCCTATAACAACTACTCCTACAACAACTACTCCCACAACAACTACTCCGACAACAACTAATTCCACAACTACTACTCCCACAACAACTACTCCCACAACAACTACTCCCACAACAACTACTCCCACAACAACTACTCCCACAACAACTACTCCCACAACAACTACTCCCACAACAACTACTCCCACAACAACTACTCCCACAACAACTACTCCCACAACAACTACTCCCACAACAACTACTCCCACAACAACTACTCCCACAACAACTACTCCCACAACAACTACTCCCACAACAACTACTCACACAACAACTACTCCCACAACAACTACTCCCACAACAACTACTCCCACAACAACTACTCCCACAACAACTACTCCCACAACAACTACTCCCACAACAACTACTCCCACAACAACTACCCCCACAACAACTACTCCCACAACAACTACTCCCACAACTACTACTCCCACAATAACTACTCCCACAACAACTACTCCCACAACAACTACTCCCACAACAACTACTCCCACAACAACTACTCCCACAACAACTAATCCCACAAAAACTACTCCCACAACAACTACTCCGACAACCACTACACCAACAACAACTACTCCCACAACAAATACTCCCACAACTACTACTCCCACAACAACTACTACCACAACAACTAATCCTATAACAACTACGCCAAAAACAACTACTCCCACAACAACTACTCCCACAACAACTACTCCCACAACATCTACTCCCACAACTACTACTCCCACAATAACTACTCCCACAACAACTACTCCCACAACAACTAATCCCACAACAACTACTCCGACAACAACTACTCCGAAAACAACTACTCCCACAACAACTACTCCCACAACAACTTATCCAACAACTACTACTCCCACAACAACTACTCCCAAGACTACTACTCCCACAACTACTACTCCCACAACAAATACTCCCAAAACAACTACTCCCAAAACAAATACTCCCACAATAACTACTCCCACAACTACTACTCCCATAACAACTACTCCCACAACTTCTTCTCCCACAACACCTAATCCAACAACAACTACTCCCACAACAACTACTCACACAACAACTACTCCCACAACAACTACTCCCACAACAACTACTCCGACAACAACTACACCCACAACTACTACTCCCACAACAACTACTCCCAAAACAACTACTCCCATAACTACTATTCCCACAACTACTACTCCCACAACTACTACTCCCACAACTACTACTCCCACAACTACAACTCCCACAACAACTACTCCCACAACAACTACTCCCACAACAACTACTACCACAACAACTATTCCCACAACAAATACTCCCACAACAACTCATTCTACAACAAATACTCCCACAACTACTACTTCCACAACAACTACTCCCACAACAACGACTCCCACAACAACTACTCCCACAACAACTACTCCCACAACAACTACTCCCACAACAACTACTCCCACAACAAATACTCCCACAACAACTACTCCCACAACAACTACTCCCACAACAACTACTCCCACAACAACTACTCCCACAACAACTACTCCCACAACAACTACTCCCACAACAACTACTCCCACAACAACTAATCCCACAACAACTACTCCCACAACAACTACTCCCACAACAACTACTCCCACAACAACTACTCCCACAACAACTACTCCCACAACAACTACTCCCACAACAACTACTCCCACAACAACTACTCCCACAACAACTACTCCCACAACAAATACTCCCACAACAACTACTCCCACAACTAATACTCCCTCAACAACTACTCCTACAACAACTACTCCCACAACAACTACTCCGACAACAACTAATTCCACAACTACTACTCCCACAACAACTACTCCCACAAAAACTACTCCCACAAAAACTACTCCCACAAAGACTACTCCCACAACAACTAAACCCACAACTACTACTCCCACAACAACTACTCCCAAAACAACTACTCCCATAACTACTATTCCCACAACTACTACTCCTACAACTACTACTCCCACAACTACTACTCCCATAACTACAACTCCCACAACAACTACTCCCACAACAACTACTCCCACAACAACTACTACCACAACAACTATTCCCACAACAAATACTCCCACAACAACTCATCCTACAACAAATACTCCCACAACTACTACTTCCACAAAAACTACTCCCACAACAACGACTCCCACAACAACTACTCCCACAACAACTACTCCCACAACAACTTCTCCCACAACAACTACTCCCACAACAACTACTCCCACAACAACTACTCCCACAACTACTACTCCCACAACAAATACTCCCAAAACAACTACTCCCAAAACAAATACTCCCACAATAACTACTCCCACAACAACTACTCCCACAACTTCTTCTCCCACAACACCTAATCCCACAACAACTACTCCCACAACAACTACTCCCACAACAACTACTCCCACAACTACTACTCCCACAACAACTACTCCCACAACAACTACTCCCACAACAACTACTCCCACAACAACTACTCCCACAACAACTACTCCCACAACAACTACTCCCACAACAACTACTCCCACAACAACTACTCCCACAACAACTACTCCCACAACAACTACTCCCACAACAACTACTCCCACAACAACTACTCCCACAACAACTACTCCCACAACAACTACTCCCACAACAACTACTCCCACAACAACTACTCCCACAACAACTACTCCCACAACAACTACTCCCACAACAACTACTCCCACAACAACTACTCCCACAACAACTACTCCCACAACAACTACTCCCACAACAACTACTCCCACAACAACTACTCCCACAACAACTACTCCCACAACAACTACTCCCACAACAACTACTCCCACAACAACTACTCCCACAACAACTACTCCCACAACAACTACTCCCACAACAACTACTCCCACAACAACTACTCCCACAACAACTACTCCCACAACAACTACTCCCACAACAACTACTCCCACAACAACTACTCCCACAACAACTACTCCCACAACAACTACTCCCACAACAACTACTCCCACAACAACTACTCCCACAACAACTACTCCCACAACAACTACTCCCACAACAACTACTCCCACAACAACTACTCCCACAACAACTACTCCCACAACAACTACTCCCACAACAACTACTCCCACAACAACTACTCCCACAACAACTACTCCCACAACAACTACTCCCACAACAACTACTCCCACAACAACTACTCCCACAACAACTACTCCCACAACAACTACTCCCACAACAACTACTCCCACAACAACTACTCCCACAACAACTACTCCCACAACAACTACTCCCACAACAACTACTCCCACAACAACTACTCCCACAACAACTACTCCCACAACAACTACTCCCACAACAACTACTCCCACAACAACTACTCCCACAACAACTACTCCCACAACAACTACTCCCACAACAACTACTCCCACAACAACTACTCCCACAACAACTACTCCCACAACAACTACTCCCACAACAACTACTCCCACAACAACTACTCCCACAACAACTACTCCCACAACAACTACTCCCACAACAACTACACCCACAACTACTACTCCCACAACAACTACTCCCAAAACAACTACTCCCATAACTACTATTCCCACAACTACTACTCCTACAACTACTACTCCCACAACTACTACTCCCACAACTACAACTCCCACAACAACTACTTCCACAACAACTACTCCCACAACAACTACTACCACAACAACTATTCCCACCACAAATACTCCCACAAAGACTACTCCCACAACAACTACTCCCACAAGAACTACTCCCACAAACACTACTCAAACAACAACTACTCCCACAACAACTACTCCCACAACAACTACTCCCACAACAACTACTCCCACAAAAACTACTCCCACAAAAACTACTCCCACAACAACTACTCCCACAACAACTACTCCCACAACAACTACTCCCACAACAACTACTCCCACAACAACTACTCCCACAACAACTACTCCCACAACTACTACTCCCACAACAACTACTCCCACAACAACTACTCCCACAACAACTACTCCCACAACAACTACTCCCACAACAACTACTCCCACAACAACTACTCCCACAACAACTACTCCCACAACAACTACTCCCACAACAACTACTCCCACAACAACTACTCCCACAACAACTACTCCCACAACAACTACTCCCACAACAACTACTCCCACAACTACTACTCCCACAACAACTACTCCCACAACAACTACTCCTACAACCACTACTCCCACAACTACTACTCCCACAACAACTACTCCCACAACAACTACTCCCCCAACAACCACTCCCACAACAACTACTCCCACAACAACTACTCCCACAACAACTACTCCCACAACAACTACTCCCACAACAACTACTCCCACAACTACTACTCCCACAACAGCTACTCTCACAACAACTACTCCCACAACAACTACTCCCAAAAAAACTACTCCCACAACTACTATTCCCACAACTTCTACTCCCACAACTACTACTCCCACAACTACTACTCCCACAACTACAACTCCCACAACAACTACTCCGACAACAACTACTCCCTCAACTACTACTCCCACAACTACTACTCCCACAACAACTACTCCCACAACAACTACTCCCACAACAACTACTCCCACAAGATCAACTCCTGATGTTTCAATTGTTTTACAGAAACCTGTGAACATAAGTAAACCTTTTTTTATTTATTTATTTATTTTTTGTATTATTTCCATAAGAGACTAATTTCATAACATTTAAATTTACTTACATAGTGGTTATTTAGAGCCTGCTTTGAAAACTGTATACCTAGCCGTCATTGTAAACCATTTATTTGCTGGGAGTAACGTGCAATGCTATTTTCAGCCGACTGTTTATGTATAACTCTTTCCTTTTTATTTTATATAATCTGAATTATTATTTTTTTTTCAGTAAACGCTGTTATCAATGTTGAATTTGATATTAAATTTAAAGAGAATTATACAGACGCACTGGACAATCAACAATCAGATGAATTCAAAAGCACATCGGCAAAATATGAACAATTGGTAAGTTGTTTTTGTATAAAAACCTAAATTAGTTAGCCCTAAAGATTTTTTTCTTGAATATTATCGAGCAATCTATGAGGAAAAAATAATAATTTTTTTTAAAACAATTTTTAGTTCTGTAAAAATTGTTGTTTAATCTCAATTCTATTTACAACATCAGTATTTTTCAGAAGTCGGATCAGTTTGGAATAAACTGCATGTGAAGAGGAGGAAATTAGTTGGGTTCTTTTTCCCCACTGAACTTGCTAATTTGCTAACTGTAAGGTAAATGTGTCCACAGCTCAAGGCACAGTTCCAAACAGTCACAAACTTCAAAGAGATCATAATCCTTGGGTTTTGGTAAGTGAGTATAACGATACAATTGTTTGATTAGCAGGATCGTGGCAAGAAATCAATACGACCGCGCTAATACTGAATATGGGCGCCCTCTTCCCTAAATAATTAAGATGAAATAATAAACCGTGTGTGCTTGAAGACGACGCTCTGGGATTGGAATCCCGACTTTGCCACCTCATCCCACAGCACGGCCATGATGTTGGTCTTTCAGAGGGTATGGGTGGAGGTTAGGAGACTGAAGCTAATCATAGGTCAGTGGGTAATGTTCATTCGTACTTCTTAAATCTCTCTGTGTGCAATTTATCTAAAATGTTTATACTTTTAAACAAAGAGTTAAGGCAAATAAGGGGGATAATTAATAATTTGGGTGACACGGTATGGTCAACTTTTCTGTGTTTAGTTAACGGAATTGCACACGTCCAAAAAAAAAACAACTATAGATTTAGGACAGGGCGTAAAAGCTTATTGAGTGTACCCTGTCATCCAGATTTACCAAGAGTGATCAATATATCTTTGACAGGCCGACAAAAAGGGAAAAAAGTACGAAAAGGTCATGAACAAAAAAAAAAAAGCTGTAAATGAAATTGGCAAACGTGCTGAAGAAATAACTATACATTGGATAGTCAACAAAACTGTTCTACACTATTATTGGATATAGTACTTTAGAGCAAGCCCGTTGAACATATTGTGTCATTACGGTTTTCCACCAAAAAAAAACCAACAACCCACAACAACGGATGTAAGAAAAAAAAACGAGGCACAGTATGAACTGCAGTGTTACGGATTAGGGGAAACTATCAGAGACTTAAGATCTTATATAATTAGGTGTGTGGCAGAGCTGTCTGCTGTCACAATTCTCTTGTGAAGATTCATCGATTGGATAGTGACGATGGCAACAAAAAGTAAGAGAAATTGAGTGCAATCGACATTTTTTTCCAAGAAACTGAGCATTGCAGAAGACACGGTCCTATTATCAAAAATTAAAAGCTGCTTTTAACTACACAACCCCCCCCCCCCCAAAAAAAACAAAAAAAAAAAAAAAAAAATAAATTAAAAAAAAAAAAAAAAAAAAAAAACAAAAAAAAACATTGCCGCCCGAAGCGGACCACCCCTTCAACCCCAGATTCCTACGCCTTTGCAACTATTTAAAAGATGCTATTGGTGTTTTTTTTTTCTACTGATACCTCCAGGCGTGGCAGCACAGGCGTCACATACAAGGTTGTACTTAAGGCTTTCGAGAACAATAACCAAACGGTCAACACGACAAAACTCATCCAGGAGATGCAGGCGATGAAGTCCAGCTTGATGAACATCACAGGTGTTGAGCCAGACTATGTGAATAAAACGTTTGATGACGCCGTCACCAACTGTAAGAATATCTGGCATAGAATACTACTCCCTAAGCAATCGTATAGTTTTCTTATCATTTTATGATATGTGAACAACTGTGTGTTGTAGGCAATTTTATTTCGCGAAAACTATGAAGTTTGGGCATTTTGTGATATTTTTTAAATATTTTGTTGGGGGTCAACATATTTTTCTTAGGCATGACTTACAGGCGATATCATTTTAATCTGTGTGGGTGATAGAAATATTTTATTTCTTAGATGTAGATTCTAATTTCTCTCTCTCTCTCTCTCTCTCTCTCTCTCTCTCTCTCTCTCTCTCTCTCTCTCTCTCTTCTCTCTCTTTTTCTCTCTCTCTCTCTTATCTCTCTCTTTCTCTCTCTCTCTCTCTCTCTCTCTTTGTCTCTCTCTCTCTTCTCTCTCTGTATATATATATATATATATATATATATATATATATATATATATATATATATATATATTTACACTACTCGTAAACTAAATTAAAATGTCTATAAAACTCTCAAACTCGTATCGTACTTACACAATTGCGAACAATAGAAACTTAATCGTATGTAGCTCAGAACTAATATATTTTTTTTGTTATCAACAGTCACACATGTCGTGACCGAAGCCCTGCAGGATAAATGTCTGTTAGAAAATATTTGTGACGCAGGATATGAATGTGACCAGGCCTCACAAGAGTGCTTCTCTAAGTGCAAGTTTCTCACCTGTTCTGACAGGGGCGAGTGTTATATGGATCGACAGATGAACGCCCAATGCAGGTAGTTTGTTATAAGATAAGATATGATAATATAAGATAATATAAGACAAAATCTATATAAAAAAAGGAATTTTTTAAAAATTACTGTGTACATATTTTCAGCATATAATCAAAGACGTATTAAACAAAGTCAACATTTTACAATTATAACAGTTAACAAACACGATACCTAAGCTATTTGTCCTAAGTAGAAATCAGCCGTAAATGAACTCCTTCATAAAGGAAAATATAATAATACAAAGGGAAAAAAATGAATTAGTTTAGTTTTAAATTACTTTGAAAAAAATGAAAAAGTCTGTCATATTCCATTCTTAGTTGAAATTCTGTACGAAGATGATACATTTGCCAATAAATAAAGTGTAATAAAGATGGAAGAACTCAATGTCCTAGTTTATAAAAAGCTCACTTTGATCTTATTCGTGAACAATTTTTTTTTAACAATAAAAAGGATGTATTTGTTTTAAAATCATTTCTTTGTCTTTCGCAATGAACATCATTTCAAAAACAGTTTTCATAGACAATATATATATATATATATATATGTAAAATTGTAATAGATGCAGAGAGAATGTCACCAAGGCGTATGAAGATGATGATTGTTCCACTTCACCAAATCAGGTGGGCTTGTCTCAGAACGAGATCATTGCCCTAGGAACGGGACTTGGTGGCGCCGTGATTATCATCGGCGTCATCGTTGCCATGGCGATACACAAGCGGAAACAGAGGTTAGTCGGACGGTTTGAAATGACAGTTTCTCACAAGAGACTCAAAAAGCTGCAGTGGGTAGGGAGAAACGTGTCATGGCAGGCTGCGGTCAATGTAAAACATATGCACAGTTAAGGGTTAAGTTACTTTCACACAGAACACTTACTATTCTTATATCATAAGGACCCATCCGCTTTTATATCGCATATTTATTTCACCAACTGATTCAGAAAAAAACACAACAAAATATTACGCAACAAACGCACTTGCGATATTTTTTTTAAAAAGTATTTAATTTAGCGCTGATAGCTGGAATTTTATTTAGTAAACTCATATTTCCTTATATTTTCCCTTGAAATACAGGAGAAACTGATCGTTTGAAGGTTGGAAGTAGGGATGGGGTTAAAAGTGTGAAAGAATGGGTGGTCGTTGGTAATGAGTCTATGTACCAAGTTTCAGCTCGATAGGTTGACGGCAAGGTGGTCAATTAGCCGTCCGAATATTTGTCTAGGAAGGAAAAGATGAAATGAATGGGCTGCGATAAATCTTTAGGCAGATTAATAATCAACATAATAAACAAACAATCAGCTTAAAAAATATATAAAAAAATACGTTAACTTTAAATATGATTTGATACGATAAAAATTCAAACGTTTCGGAAAATACCTTCATCGCAACAACAAAAAAAACTTTAGTATTGCTTATAAAGTAAATGTACAACGCATGAAAATTCTACCTTCAAGTAAAAACAAATATGAAAGAAAAGATAAAAATACCAATAACATAAGTCCCTAACGGATACAAAGAACTAAAAAGGAAATTGTTTGAGATTAATTTTAGCATTTGATGTATTGTAAAGGTTGATACGGTCATTAAAATAAATTTGCAACTTTATTATTATTATTTTTTTTACATCTTTGTATAGAAAGAGAAACGAAATTGTTTGAGATTAATTTTAGCATTTGATGCATTGTAAAGGTTGACATGGTCATTAAAATAAATTTGCAACTTTATTATTTTTTTTTTTTTGTTACATCTTTGTATAGAAATAGAAACGAAATTGTTTGAGATTAATTTTAGCATTTGATGTATTGTAAAGGTTGATACGGTCATTAAAATAAATTTGCAACTTTATTATTATTATAATTTTGTTGTTTACATCTTTGTGTAGAAATAGAAACGCCATAGTTCCTTTCGACAATGAAAGCGACGAATCGACCACCTCTGTGGATTTAGAACAGACAAAACCAGACCTTGCAGCTGTGGAAAGGGGAAGAAGTAGTAATTTTTATATAAACCCCAAGCAAGCTGACGTCACGTCGTTTCGGGTGCAGTCCGCGCCTTCAGCGTTTGACCTTTATCCGGGTCAAGGTAATTTTTTTTTTTTTTGGACTCTAAGCAACGATGAAAGCTGAGATGAAGTATACAGAATCCTGCAGGAAAGTCGCGGAAGTCCTTGAAGGTTTCATGCCAAAGACATTGTAACTATTGAAATTTCACCTTGGGCAAATTGAAGATTTTTCTTTTTCTGTTACATTTTGGCAATTCAATAGAGGAAGACGTTACGTCTCAACAGCTCAGTCGCATATTCAAAAGATGTTGAGGTTGAGAATATTAAAGTTGAATTAAAATTCAGCCAAACAAATAAATACATCTTTAAATATCGTTACGTCCAAATTTAACCGAAGTAAAACTGTACTTTTTAAATGAAGCATATACAGTTTTAGAGTGGTATCTAATGAAAATCACAATTACCACCTTTGTGTTAATGAATTATAAAATAAATTTAAAAAACATTATCTTAGTTGTGAGCTTAGTTGTTTAATGTTTTGTAAGCTAAAAGAACACCCCCCCCCTCCCTTTACACCCAACGAAAAAAAAACAACAAGAAAACACGATGATATGATTTTGTATTTGTAATATAAAAAAAAAATTGATTATGTTCTTATTTATAACCTTCAGCATTGTTTGCCAATTATATGTGTGACATTTTAAATATATATACATATATATATATATATATATATATATTTATTTATATTTTGCTGGACAGAGTCGTCAATATTTGATCTCAGTTTTGTCTGACGTATATTTTAATATAGACTTTAAAGATTTGCTGATCGATTTACACATTAAATCCAAAATTTATCAAAATAGAATCATGTTTATATTCACTGATCTAACTTTAAAACATTACTTTGAACCAGCTGTTCAATGTAATATTTATTAGTTACATAGTTTGATATTGACAAGAAAATGAGTGTGTCTGATTGTGGTCATATAAAAAGGCATTGTTCCTAAAAAAATTTAGTTATCATTATTTTAAATTTTTCGTTTCAGCTCATAACGATTGACGTTTTACTTTAACTATATCGTTTGTTATCATGTCTTAGGTTAGTTCAATGTTTTTCTTATCTAAACTACAGGTTCTGGTCGGGGATCAATCCACATACCGAGAGTGAGGCCCCCTTATTTTACGCCAAGGGACCGTTTATGGCTCGACGGCTCCAGCCTACCTTCCCTGTCCAGCAGCACGCCTGGCCAACTTCAATCGTGGACGGGGAAATCTGGGACCAATAATTACACTACATTTCCAGAAGCAAGAAATGGGCGCACGTTTTCAAATATCAGGCAACATGAATATAGATAATACAGCTATTACGTGATGGAAATTCAAATGTTTTAATATGATCAACAGAGCAAGAGGGGAACATAGACTTGGTTGTTTCTTGCTTCAATGGGCCTTACATAATTGAAGGATGAAGGAAAGTCGAGCGATCGCCATGAAAGATAAGCATGTCTTAGTATTATCAACAAAAAATTGTGTGGGTCATTCGCTGCTTGTGTCGGTTAAAACTTTTTTTGGGGGGGCATTTCTTAAACTTGTTATAATTTGATGATCATGGATCGTCGACGTCACAAGGTCATAAATATCCTTATGTTATTTTCTTTCGTGGATAAATCGGGGCATTATCGCAATAGAAGGTGTGAACAAGGAACGTGGGGGGGGGGAGGGAGGGAGAGTGGGTGGTGAGTGCATGATGTGTGGTTGAATGCTGCATAAGCGTCAAAAGGGGCTAAAAATTTATTTTTTTTAACTTTGTGTAAAATTCTTATCGCAATAGAAGGTGTGAACAAGGAACGTGGGGGGGGGGGAGGGAGGGAGAGTTGGTGGTGAGTGCATGATGTGTGGTTGAATGCTTCATAAGCGTCAAAAGGTGCTAACAATTTATTTTTTTTAACTTTGTGTAAAATTCGTGGGATTACCACTAAAAAAAAAAAAGAGTGAACAAGAAACGGGAGAGGAGATGGTGGGTGCATGACCTGGGACTGAATGGGTCATAAGCGTCACAAGGCGCCAATAATCGTTATATTTTTTTGTAACTTTTGGTAAATTTAAATCATTAATGTCCCATGGTCTTAGTTCCGACTACACTGGCCGCGAAACTACTAATGGGGTCATGGAGGTTTTTCTAACGAGTCACCGACAGAATAAGTAAAAAAAAAAATCCTTTTAGATAACCAAATTTCAAATCAGTGTTTTATGAAAAGAAACGAGTAATTTTATAATAAACCATCTAATATTTTTATATATTTGCAGTCTTACCGCCTCGGTGTCGCGTCTATAAAATGGGGTAGTGTCTTAATAAAAGCTGGGAACCTGTGTCATAGCAAGCCTACGTTTTCAAATCATCCTAAACTTAAAAATAAGAACTTTTTTTCCCCCTCACAACACTGGGAACTCAGACTGCCAATGTTGCATCAAATCTTAAGAATTGTGATAGTTATAAATATCTATAATTATAATGTTAGACTTAATTGACAAATGTATTAAAATATAACAATTATTTTTATCCTTATAGTGATAAAATATATGTTCAACCATAAATGCATATAAATGTGAATGAAAATATGAAATATATATCAGGTGAAACTTTTTTTATATTGGTGATCATGATTGATTATAAAAATGTATGTATATCAGTTTGTGTTACATGTGTCCGTTCATTGTTAAAAACACAAGGATCTTCTAATTAACGTTATCAGAGATTAGTGAATCTGCTGCTCATGAGGTGTCTGTAAAATGGTGATAACCCTGATATTCATGGGATGTCAGTAAAGGATGACACGCTCAAGGGATGTCTCATGACACGTTTGGTGCTCATGAGATGCCGGGAGCTGATGACATGACTAAAGTTCATGAGATGTCAGTAACAAATAGCATGTCTGTTATTCATGAGATGTCAGTAACAAATAGCATGTCTGTTATTCATGAGATGTCAGTAACAAATAGCATGTCTGTTATTCATGAGATGTCAGTAACAAATAGCATGTCTGTTATTCATGAGATGTCAGTAACAAATAGCATGTCTGTTATTCATGAGATGTCAGTAGCTGATTGCGTGCATGTTGTTCGTGAAGTTTCTAGGATTCATTAAATGTTTTGAATTGAAGAAGTTTCCGCTGGAGGTTCAGTCTGAGGTAGCGATTCCTAAACATTAAATTTGAGGGATCAGCGAGCATGTGTCCACTTGGAACAAGGGACCGGTGGGTAAGTTTCCCCATTTTACCAGATACTAGTGAACAAGTTTCCCCTTTGCACAAGGGACAATTGGGCAAGTTTCCCCATTCGTACCAGGGACCGGTGGCAAATTTTACCATTAGCACAAGGGACGGGTGGGCAAGTTTCTACTTTGCACCAGGGTCGGTGCAAGATATATTAAGTGTTCTTTTTATTTGACATTAAATGTCAAAGAATATTTTGTAACGGTTATTGAACCATTTGACATAGACTATATTTTAACTATTAACATTTAGTGCAAGCAGTAAAATTCAACACTTGCAATTTACAACCATTGCATAAGGGTGACAATAAGCGATACAAAATTGCGCGATTTTTGTTACGTCGAAAGAAATAAAAATTATGATACACGAGTGCTTTCTCCGTCGATCACGTGGATTCCGTCGCCTTTGACCTACTGTTTAGGTTTTTACTAGTTTTCTGTGGCCTTTTAACGACGGTTTCACATTTCTTCTCAAAAGTCTTGCTCTGTCACTTGTCTCTTGCTGTCCTCTCGAATTCTGCATTACAGCTCTAAAAGTGATATTTCAATATTTAAAAAAAAATTATTTCTGCGTTTAACTATTGTTTGTTCGCTGATGACGGCTTCTGGCCGACCACGCGTTCGCTGTTTTGTTGCGTTATTTTTTTTTCAGGGTTTCCTCATACTTAGTTTCATAATTTTCTTTCTTAATATTTTAGTCTGACACATAATGAAAGTGTCCAGGCGCCTCATGATGCGTACAGCGCGGGGTATTCGAAGGCAAAAGACAAGCTCGGTTATTGAAGCCTTGTTGTAACAAGATTCAAACATGTAAGTTCCCCTCCCACACTTTTGCCTAATGTTGTGGGGATCAGCAAAATAAGCTTCGTGGACCGGCACCGGTCTTGGGACTACTATTTGGGACACGCTGGTCTAAGACACAATGGACAATTTGTTGAAACGTATTTGAATTTTTTTCTTGTGGAGAAGTTCGAGCTGGTATGTTAATCCATTTCGACATGATCTTAAATTCAGAACAAGACAAATTTAACGCCGGAATGGGTCTCATCGGCAATTTAGGCATCCAGAGACTTACACTTCTCAGAACTCGGGCTAATTTTCGAACTTGACCTCGTCATGTAGAAGTACAATACTTACTTTACTAACTTTCGCCTTTTACACCCGTCTGGGACAAAGGCCGTCCACAAGAACTTCCACTCGTCTCCTTCCTGGGCTCTAATCTCCAGTTGCTTCCAGGTGTATCCCATCCTTGGTGTGTCTTCCTCTGGCGGGCAATGTTGAGCTATACTATAAAAATGCAAGACGAGCGTCCTCTGATTGCGATATCGAGAATTGTCTTACTCATTGCATTCTGGGATTCCTTTTGTTTTTGCAGTGGCCCCCACCCGAAAAAGAAACAACAACAAAACAAACAACAGTAGAAAAAAAACACTTCAAAAAAAAAAAAAAAGATTTATATTCACTTCGCTTTTGTTCACGTATGCCTTATTGGATGGCAAAATCGTCACACGGTTAAGTTAACCAGTGCTCATCAACGTATCGAGGTGAA